ACCCGATTTTAACAACAAAACCAGATACACAACATATGTGAGTTCAAGAAGTCAAATCTCACATATAGCTATAAATAAGGGTAATACCAATAGACAATGCTCAATATATAACGTACTTAGTATAAAGAATATAACCTTAGATAGCAATAAGCGGAATGACAACTCCGATCTTCGGGTGAAGACTCTAATTCCACCGGAACAACTGACTGGTTGATCACGAACCTAATTTCTCCAAACTCTAACAATCTGGTACCCATTCGGGATTTTTATCCAAATAATTGAAAATAAAGCAAGCGTAAGTACATGTCGTACTCAACCAAACTCATCATTAACTTTCTCGAGTTCTTCTCCCAATTTTTTTCTTTTACTATTACAAATAACATATCCAAAGAAGAGAACTTCCTTCAGCAAAACTCACTTGCTAACTTAATAAAGCATTGAGATTATCGTTCTATTAAGAGAACTTCCTCGCGAGCATAAAAACAGCAGCATAGTAAAACAGCTGTAATTATCATTCTATTAATTCAATGAAATTATAGCTTATACCGTTGGAAAGATTATCAAATCCTCCACAACTTACTTATACAACACTTTTCCAAATTCTGCAGATAACTTAGTCTAAAACTGTGCACAAGAGAAACTGTTCCTGGTTCCAAACAGCACAGATGCATCACCTTTTGATTTTTATTACTCCACAACCAAAATAGCTATTAGGGTGATTCTTGCCCTGAGAGAAATATATGGAACTGTACTATTGTCCAATTTTTTTCCATAATTTTAGATTATCTAAGAACAGAGATATAAGCTAATAACGACAGGTTGCGCCCAAAATACAGAATAGGGAAAACAGGAGATAAGCGAAACCTATCTATTTATTGCATTGATCCTTATACCTTATGCCTATGAACTAAATAAAATTGTGGGAACAACTATAAGATCATTGCAATCATTACAAAGATGCAAAACAATCATAAACATAATCACAAATCAACAAAGCACTAAAATGCACAACTCAATCATTGACTCAACATGCGATACTACGGTTTTGTTACATAAAGGGCACAAACTCCTATTCCTTAACTATGGATCTTGGGTAATCTAGAATGACTTCTTCATTCGTCACTCTCACCGAATGCTTCTTTCGGGTTGGGTATCACTAACACTTTTTGGTAGCAACCTTGTAATGATCTGTCTCTGGCTACTTCCATGATGTAATTGTTGATTCTTCTGTGGGCAAGATTTAACATAATGTTCTTCCTGCTGGCAATGATAACACTTTCTCTTAGCTGGATCCTTTGTGATGTCATACTCCATAGAATTGTTGCTTAGTGTGTTGTCAGCTTGCTGACTCTGAAGGTTTATCTTTGTTTGACTAGACCGCTTTTTAGCTCGCTTGATCTTTTGGGGTTGAAACTCCTTATAGGTGATTGTCCATCCACCTATGCATACCTCCTGTGGAAAAAGTGGAGTAATCTTAGCTTGAGAAACTTCTGACTCTTTAGGGTTTGAGTTTATCTAACTAGGGATTAGAGCTTGATGTGGCAACGTAGTAGAACTCGAATGTTGATTGCTTTCTAATTGACTGCCTTCCTCTTCTTATCCACAGTAGCTTCACAACTCGGGTTCACCTTGGCTTCCCTCTTATTGGACTTGCTCTGAAGACAGGGAAAACCATAATGCTTGCAGCATTGACATTGATACTGACTTCCGAGCGTATTACTACCAGCACCTTCATTGTACTTTATTTTCTTCCAAGCTTCTGCCACTTGTCTCTTCATTAGTCCCTTTGGTATGTTGGTTTGACCTCTGAGCAAACCTTTGTTGAGAACTCCCATGTTGAGTCATTCCTTCTAATACTTGTTGCTACATAACTAAAAGCTTCTCCTTGTCGAAGCGCAATCAAGGACAACGTAGCTTTGGTCCTCGACCTTTGGTGTTGAGTGGTCTCCTCATTATGACCCATCTATTTAGATGAAGAGAGATGATTAGAATAGAGACAAGGTTTTCATAATGTGAGCAGAGAGGCCGAAGTGAGCATAAATTTTAGCAATTAGCAAGGTTAGTGGGGAAACAAGAAGTAAGCACAGATGAAAGCATATTAGAACGTCCAGTTCTAACTAGGCTTTTGTCCTACAGTCAGCATTACTCTGATACCACTTTGTAGCACTCGATTTTAGGAACAAAACCAGATACACACCATATGTGAGACCAGGAAGTCAAATCTCACATCTAGCTACAAATAAGGGTAATATCAATAGACAATGCTCAATATATAACGTACTTAGTTAAAGAATATAACCTTAGATAGCAAACAGTGGAATGACAACTCCGATCTTCGAGTGAAGACATCAATTCCACAGGGACAACTGACTGGTTGATCACAAGCCTAATTTCTCCAAACTCTAGCAATCTGGTACTCATCTAGGATTTTTATCTAAATAATTAAAAATAAAGTAAGCGTAAGTACATGTCGTACTCAATAAATATAACATGGGGTTCATGAGGCTCAAACGGCTGACACTGGTTTAACTGTGATTAGCTTTTAATTGTCACAATTTTAGCAATTGAGTAGCAACAAGTTTATCACCAGCCCATGTAAACATATGATCAGGTAAACATGAATAATGAATAGCATAAACAGTAATCATTAGTGAACATCTTTATCATCAGTATCATCAATGTTCATCATCTATTCCCTAAATGTTCCAATGCCGCTCATGACCGTGAGCACAGCTGATATACCAGTTTTACACTCTGCAAAGGTTGTGTACTTTCACTGTGAGTCGTGATTTACCCTTTCGCCCGAGGTAGCTAATCTCTTGATCCACTTCCAAGGAAGGTCGATAGAATTCACTATTGTAACGCCTCAGTCCGGAAAGACGGCTAAGATCCACTCTACACGTTGAATGGACCACACCTGCTGATTAACTCTCTTGCGCTTTTGTCCTCGCTTCACACAAAAGGTTTGAACCAGAGTTAATTCTCTCCCAGGCTTACGCCCTGTTCGTTTAGGCTGGTTTGGCTTATAAGCCATGGCTAAAAGTATTGTTGGCTGGTTTGATGTGATAGAAAAATATTGTTCGGTGGCTGATAAGCCATGGCTTATAAGCCAAATATGACCAAGCGAACATGTTGTTAGGCTTTTAAGTTGGTTCAGTTTCCCCTTAGGTTTCGATATGGGACTAAAGTCTCATAGCTACAGTACTCGGCCATTTGGCCCACCCCACCGGACCGGCCCAACATGGCCCATTTAGCGGGGTCTCACATACACCTACCCTTGAGGACTCGACATCCTTGTTGAGGGCCGAACCAACCTACCCAAACAGGATAAATGTCCAGGATTAACTCTCTTGGCCACGTCCATATTCCCAGCTCCCCGGCTCAAGTGCCATGCTCTTGTAGAGCCATGCGCAACCTGTCCGAGCTCCCGAGCCATATGTCCAAATGTTCGTGAAACCGCGAGAGTTGGCTCTGATACCATTTGTAACGCCACAGCCCGGGAAGACGGCTAAAATCCACTCTACATGTTGAATGGACCACACATGCTAATTAACTCTCTTACGCTTTCGTCCTCGCTTCGCGCAAAAGGTTCGAACCTGAGTTAATTCTCTCCCAGGCTCAGGCATAAAGGGGCTATTCTTCATGGCACGGCCCAAGAAGTTCAAGGTATCATATGGTAAAGAGGACCTCAAGAGACTATTGTAATAGGGATTTAGATAGATTTGTGATAGTGTCTTCGTCTTTGATAAATACTTTTTCAATGTAACCATAACATTTGTAATATATATCTTGATGGATTTGTGATCTATGTGAATCTAGTCTACATAGCAAATATAGAGTACCACACAAAAATATAAAATAAATTATAAAATAACAAAAAGGCAAAAAAGAGATCATCGCCGGTTCACCAAACACTGGCAGTGATGATTGACATAGCACTGCTGGCTCAAGTACTGAATCGGTAGTGTTGCCCGACTCAACACTGCCGGTTGCAATCCTGTCAAGTATAAACTCGGTCTTTGCTCAAAAAAGTATATACTCGGTCAAGGTTAAACTAGTTTGACTTGAAAATATCCCAAACTTGCATTCTTTTGTGGATCGAGGGAGTAACATACATCCAAATTTTCTATATACCATGAAAGCTTTACATCTTTTAGATAAGTGCAAAGATGGTCATCACACATTTCACAACACTATTCGCTGTAACAAGAATATCTGAGAGCATAAAGTGATCCGTACGTGCCAAAGGAATCTAGACACAAGTTCTAGTGTTCCTTGGACTTGGAGTTGGAGAGTAGGTTAGCATAATCACCAGGGCCATATACCTCAAACAGTTCCGAAAAGAACCCTTTCTTCCTCCAAGGATTGCACCCCATGTCACGGCAGAGCTGGTCGTTGTACCAAGTGTTCAGGATCAAGATGCTGGACCGGCGGAAGTATCTTCCACAGTATCTCTTCATGTACTTCTCCCATTCGAGCACATCCTTCTGCATTGCCGCGACGTTCGGTAGTCTGAAGCTGCCGTCCAAGAAGCGTGCCAACCACTTGGCGCGAATGTCGGAGGCGTAGATGTTCGAATGGGTGTCAGAATATCCGATCACGGCGAGCTGAGGTATCTTAGGATTTATGCACTCTCTGTTTGTGAAACATGCATGTTTGAAAATTTAGCACGACTCATAAATGATGACCAAGATCGAGAGTTCAAATTAGGACAAATGGTGAGAAACATATATATACAAATATACCTGTAGAGAGGCACAGTAGTGGATTCTGACCCAATCGCGACATTCCGGAAGTACTCTGAAGTGAACATGTCCTTGATCTTCTCGTCGCCCTTGAACCCGGTGCCGAAGATCACCACGTCGCTCTTGACCGGCGACGGCTCGCCCTCCACGAGCACGCCTTCCTTGCATAAGCTGAATGTCTTGGACTTCTTGAGCATGATGCTGCCTTCTTCCAGCCTCTTGTAGTGGTCCTTGGGTGAAGGCCGCAGCCAGCGCATGGAACAGGCTGTGGTCAGGCACCATGCCGTGCTTCTTCATTGGGATGGAGTAGTAGCTGTCGGCCAACTTATAGAACGCCCACCTCTACACACACAGTTAAATTAAACACACAAATTATTTAATTTATTTCTGAATTCATCACTCCAAAAAGTAGTATATATGTTTATCAGTTATTAATTATTACATAAATAGTAATAACTGGATGCATTAGACATTAGTGTTTACTAGCAAATATACCCGTGCGTTGCAACGGGAGAACAATTTATTGTATTGTCAGTGGCACAAGCAGAGACAGTTTTCACACTCATCGAGTTACAGATAAGAAATTGCTGAAATTCTTCTCCAACTAACTTTCCACATTCAATAGCAAGTTGTTTCCTTCTCTCTCCGATTTTTTTCGTCACGTATGTATTTTCTTTGTCGCAGTCGCTTATATCAATTCAGATCAAACATGACCATCATCAACCTGCCGCCAGCTACTGACTCGCTAGATATGGCCATGCCATTTAGGTTGGGCTGGGGGTTGCAATCGCACCTGGCTTGCGCTAGCTTTCCCAGGGCTGCCCCCAGCTGCGCCTGCTAGCCCCTAGCTGCGGCCGGATCTGGCCTCTGGCGACCCTCCAATTACCCGGACCAAGTTAAGCTACCGCCATTGGCTCACACTCAACTTAATCATCTTTAAACGTGAGTTGTTCTAACTTATATAAGCACAGCTCATGAGTCCGGATCATATACACAACCCAGTACATCTTGAAATCAGACTACGTATCGCGCTAGACGTGAGATGTTCTAATTCGCATGAGCACATGTTATATAAGTCTGGACGAAAGAAACTACACTATCGGGTAGTTAGGGGAAGCGAACCAAAGGTCTAAAATTTTGGCTCTTTAATTAATAATATGTCAGGTATAGGTAGATCTAGAACACATAAATAATTGGAGACGATGAGAGTAGATATAGATATAGATAAAAATTTCAGCAAATTAATTACATAAAAGCATAGATCTATAGATACATCGAAATCTTCATTCTAAAGAATATTATATTATATGTTTAATTGTGTAGCCCTAGTCAAAGGAGTGTAACAAAACTGGTTTCGTATTTTTATAATTTTATATGATTTTAAAATTCTCAACTGGTTCAAAAGAAAAGAAAACATAAAAAAGAAAGGTAAAGGCCTACCTGTGCGGCTGGTATTTTTATGATTTTTCCGTGATTTTTTATGATTTTTAGATTTCTAAACTGGTTTAAAAGAAAAGGCAATGAAAAGAAAGGAAAAGGGCTTATGTGCTGGTTGAGCCATGGGCTTCGCCTAGCTGCAGCGCAGCCCGAGGCGAATCCGAGGCCCACCACAGTAGGCCCAAGCAAATAAAATAAAAATAAAATGATTTTTTTGCATCAGAACCCTAAATTTGTTTCTAAAATCGCTTAAGCCCTTCTATTATTTCTTTGTCTCTAGTATCTTTGCATCTGGAACCACGTTATTTCTTTCACATTCCTCCCTCAACCCCTTCTTCTTCTTCTTCCGTACTGAACGCGACTTCGAAAAGAAACGAGGAAAGAAACGAAAAATAGGATCTGAATAGATATCAGAGTTGGAATGAAATTTATTAGTTCTTTCACATTCCTCCCTCAACCCCTTCTTTTTCTTCTTCCGTACTGAACACGACTTCGAAAACAAACGAGGAAAGAAACGACCAGACATAAAAAATAGAGTCCGAATAGAGATCAGAGTTGGACGAAAATTTATTAGTGGTTGAAATTTTGCCTCTTTATTATTAGGTATAGTATAGATATATGTTTATGTCGGGTAAGGTACTCTACTGTCACATAAGTGGGCCATCGACATGGGCTATCGGCTCGGCGCTGGACATGTGGGGTGGACTTTGGGCCTGCTCAAGCAAACTGCACAGGGTGGGAAGATAATACAGAAGTCGTCGTCTACCTCCGTCTAGGACTCAGCTTCCTCGCTGTTCTTGCTATCTCTACCCCTGATTCCATGCTGTACCTAGTCCAACTCTCTCTAATCCTTCCCAATTTGCAGTTACTCTTGCATAATTGCTATTCAGTAGTGAAGGATCGTAACAGTTTATCAGTTGTTAATTAACGATTACAAAAGTCCCTATGTCCCTAAAAGAACGCATCTATGATATGCGTGTCAGTTAAAGTGCTTCACGTTTAACCAAGTTTTCAATAAATAGTATTCGTATTTATGACTCCAAATCAATTTATTATGAAAATATATTTCGTAATTAACGTAATGATATTTATTTGATATTATAAATATTTATACGTTTTATCTATAATTAGCCAAACTTGGTATACTAAAATATGATAATTGTTTCCAGAATAGCATTCTTTTGGGACCAAGGGAGTACTACCAATAACTGAATCGTTAGACATTAGTTTATATAGTTACCAAGGGAGTCAGGAGAGTGGCCAAGATCGACAGGAGGAGGCCCTCGCCAGGCTTGTGGATGAGGAGTTCAGAGAAAGCGGTTGAGAGTGAAGTTTTTGCCATTGATGCCCCAGACGGAGTAGTCCGGTACGATCCAGTGCTTTGTCCGGACCACCATTGTACATGGGTGAGCAGTGCCTACAGCACAAACCAACGTTAAGTGGATGTGTACAGAACATTTTTAAATACTGTAACTCTGTAGTTTTAGTTCTAACAACTGTTCAAAATGCTATAAGATATATACAAATATCAATTTAGATTGTCAAATAGATAATATTAGACTTCTAGAGGGAGTGATGAAGAGGACTATATATCTGCGCCGTACCATTTACTTCAGCACATTCAGTGGCAATATCAAGTGCAGATTTCATGTAGCCAACGACAGTCACACGCTTGCCCCTGATCATCTCCTTAGCTTTACTTGTGCCCATTTTGGCATAATCCATGGAGTGGATCACCTGCCCATCAAATACTTCTGGGCCTTTACCTGCTGGGAATGTGGGTATGTCGGGCACACCACTGAACATCCCTATGCAAAGAACGACAAAGTCTGCTTTGTGTGTCTGCATAAAGGTAAAAACCAATTTCTGGATTATACAACGGTACTCTGTATGTAAACATGCATACTCTGTTGTTGTTTGTTTGTAGGCTCAAGTTTTTTTTTTAATTCCTAGGTGCATATTTATATTATGGTCTGTTTGGGTCGCCACAAACTACAACATGTGTTGTATTGTGAGGTCCTGTTTGGATCACATAGAACTAGGTATTAGTCTAACTTCTCTAAAGTTTAGTCCTATTTGTATACATGGACTAGTAGCTACTACTAGTGATTTGTGGTGGACCTAGAAATTCATAGAAGAGGTGGCTAAAGTTCATCTTCAAGCTCTAGTGCTCATTCTTTCTATTTTCTATGTCTATATATAAATTAGGAGAGACTAAAGGAGATACTCCATTGTCACGGAAGCAGAAGGAGGGCGGAGGTGGCCCCCTTGGGTGGGAGAGCTTGAGCCCCGCCCGCCCCACCGCTGAATCCGCCCATGTTAGCGAACTAGTTGTTGTTAGTTAGGGACTAAAAAATAGTCCACCCATTTAGATGGTTTAGGACTGAACTTTAGTTTTGGTATCAAAAGTGTCCACAACTGTGGAGTTATGCTAAGAAGATATGAATTTTGTTGGGTTACGTACATATATAAATCCAGATCTGTTCAGGTATATATGTCCATATCTCTATCTTTACACCTAAAAAGTCTCTAATGCCATCATCTACCCGGTGATACCAAACCTTGATCACCTTCACGTGTCGGAGTCTGATACGTATCATACTGTACTCAGAGCTCACACATCCGTGTCCTACCCGGTTATAATACGAATACTATATCCATGTGTCCGTGTCCGATACGAAGTCCTCGGAGCTCATGCGTCTGCGTGAGATTACTGAGATTCAATTTAAAAAATTGTGACACCAGTGCAACACACGGCACGGGCATATATCTAGTCCATATATATTTACTTATATCCATGTCCATAGCTGAACGGATATAGATATGCTCACGAAACAACCATTCGATACGAATATTGCTGTCACACATACATGAAAAAATAATTTTCCAAATATGGATATGGACATATATTTGAATTCTTTTCAGTAATAATATCATATCTGTATTATTTATAGAAATACTTTTCCTTCAAAATATAAATGTGAGTAAAATATAGTTATGTTGCTTTTTTTGTTATCTAGCTCGGTTCATCCTTTTGAGTTTTGACCATGTCAATTTTTTTATTGTTTGATAGTGTACCGCATGTACGTATATTTTAGCGAAAAAAAAGAGTACGGAGCTGCGTCATTTGTATCTCGGGCACAACACGAATGCATGCTAGCTCACCTCCACGTGGCCGTCGGCGTCGGCCACCGACAGCCGCCACTCGCCGGCGCCGGAGCCGAACGCCTGGTCGTTCCCAGCCCACTCCTCCCACGCGGCCATGGCCTGCTCGCCGATGCCGTGGTACTCCATGCCGACCACCCGGTGGCCGAAGCGGACGCAGCTGAGCACGCCGAAGTGGCGCGCGTACGCGTCGAGGTACGCCGCCACCTGGCGGTGGCTCGGGAACTCCTCCGTCACGCTCTCCGGCCACGGGAAGTCGGAGTACTGGTACATGGACCGCGGCGTCTGGAGCTTGGTGCTGGCCACATGAAACGGCTGATTTGCCGGGAGAAAAAAAAATTTGCGGGTGCTTTTTATCGGGCACCGGCAAAGGAATTTCTTTGCCGGGTGCCGTGGCCTAGCAGCACCAGCAAAGAAAACCTCGACAAAGCAGCCTTTGCGGGTGCCGGAGCACTCGGCAAATTCAGCCGTCGGCAAAATTGGTCATTGCGGGTGCGGCCACTCAACAAAATATGGCGCCCGGCAAAGGTGGTTTGGCTTGATTGACCAGCTGCCGTCGACCTTCTCGGGTGCACGCGTGAGGCACCAAGCAAAGAATTCCCCACAAATTTCTTTGCGGGTGCCCCATGACCTATTTTTGGCAAAACTTCTTTACGAGTGCCGGGGTGGCACCGACCAAATTAGTTAATATTTTTGTTTTTTGACCCTAATTTTTTTTGTGGGGACTTGCTACGATAAATATATCCCTATTTCAAAATTTGGGACAATTATGAGTTTTTAACTATATTTACTTAATTTTTTTCGTTTCATTGATTTTTCCGACTATTCCAAATTTGAGCTGCGGTACATGAAATAATGGAATTTGGTCATTCAAAAATAGTATTCATGATATTTAGGCTATGTCGAGGCCATTATGCAGGAAGTGGCATGAAATGTCGCGCATCATGTTGTCGTAACATGATGATGTACTTTCATGGGAAAGTTTATTTAAATTATATAAAATCCAAGCGATGTCAGAAAATCACGAAACTTGTCGATGTGTCTTGTTATCACATGTGGAGGCCCTGGTAAAAATTGAGAAAGTTTTGAGCAAGTTGCGGCGTCATTTGCCTCTCCAGCGCCTCGCCCGCGCCTTACTCTGTCGCCCGGTCCAGTGACCTTGTGTGGCTGCCAGCGACTTGATACCGCCATGCGCCAGCGCCCATGCCCGGACCTTTCGCCCGGCAAGCGGCCGGCAAGCGCTCCCACCAGATCCCGGGCGCCCGTGGCTCCAGCCCCGCAACGACCGGCGGCCTTCGGCCCGGCCAAGCACTCATTGGCCAGCTCTGCTCACCCCGGCGCCCCCAGCCTCGCCCATGGCATGGCCACAAGCCCACTTCACGGTCGTCCCCAGCCGAAGTGCATTCTGTCCGTGGTCCGGCAGCCAGGGCTCCTCCAGCCGCCAGACGGCGATGAAGGAGGTAGGTGGAAGAAGGGAGGAGGAAGGAAGAAGAAGAAAAAGAAGGGGGAGGAGGAGAGGAAAAAGAAGAGGAGGAGGAAGAAAGAAGGAAGAAGAAGAGGAAGGTCTTGACCCAGACCGCCGTCGATCCCATGCCCGTTCCGGCCAGGCCGTTGATCCTCATTATTTATTCTGGTCATCCCCCGTCGTCATGACCCCTCGCTCTTGCCGTTCTTGCCACCAAGGTAAGCCCTACCCTTGTAGTGTTAGTAGTAGTAGTAGTTAGTAGTGTTAGTAGTAGTTAGTTGTAGTGTTAGTAGTAGTAGTTAGTAGTTTTAGTTGTAGTGTTAATTGTAGTAGTTAGTAGTGTTGGTTGTAGGGTTAGTAAATAGTAGTAGTTAGTAAGTAGTAGTGGTTAGTAGTAGTAGTTGTTAATAGTTAAGTAGTTCTTACTATTAGCATTGTTAGTAGTTAAGTAGTTGTTAGTAGTAGTGTTAGTAGTAGTTGTAGGGTTAGTAGTAATTGTTGTTGTACTACTTCAATACTTTCATGTGCATGGAAGAGAACTAAAGTCGTGGCTCCTCTTGATATATTGGTGGTTGTTGGCCTTCGTGTCCATGTTTGGTATATGTGGTTGTTGGCCTTACGTGCCATGTTTGGTATATATGTGGTTGTTGTGCCGTGCCATGTTTTTGCAGGTTTGGAACCTCCCCTTGCGGGGAGGTGCTGCTAAAAATTTTGAGTCGACACTAACTATTTTGCCCTTTTTTTGCGGGAGGAGGACTGTGGGAGGGACTCGGCGATCCCGATCATCTTAAATGGTGGCTGCGGGTCTTCTGCACGCGTTGACTCGCCTTGCACCGACTCTCCTTTGCCCGCTACTCGGACCTCACCGCCACCTAGGTATAACCCCTCTATCCGTATGTGGTCTTTGGTCGCGTAACCTAGTTAGGTGTCTCCCGTTTGAAAGAGATACGATCGGAGATATGAGACCTTTGCATGCTCTGTGACCGTATCTATTCAGATTTTCACGCTTTTGGATAGCCAGCGGATGCATAGTTTGAGTTAGTTTTCATGCTCCGCTCAGGTTGAGGCGGTGTTTGGCATCACCTCTCCGTTGTTCTCCGGATACACACTCTCCCTTGCGGGGCGTGTATCGGGAGAAACAGCGAGGAAAATCTTCTTGAAATTCCATCTCGGATAGAGGCGAACATGAAAACTAACCTCATCTACGCGCATCCATGGTGGGATAAGGACCTATCCTCACCTATTAGAGAGTAGGGACACAGCGTAGATGCAATTGATGGTCACCTATGGTGATGTTATATATGCTAAAGGATGGAGGACCGTTAGTGGATGTACACGGGCTGAACTAGTCAGGGTGATGCCAGCTATGAATGGATGCAGAAGACCGATCGTTTCTTGAATTGTGCATTTGGCAAGGCCGCAAAATTCCAAAAATGGCTTTGTGTCCCTGCTGCAAGTGTTTTAATAGGAGAATGCTAGACAAAGGAACTCATGGGTACACATACGCACAAGAATGGGTTTCTGGCAAGAACTACACGGTGGGTCCACCATGGTGAAGCCGATCGTATTAGAGAGGAGGTGGTGAGACAACCGCGTCGAGGGCTTTCAATCTGATGCGGGGTAGCAGACATAGTAGATAGCGTTCACCAAGCACAGTTCTTTGAAGGGCGTGAGGAGGTGGAGATCTGAGCTGCGGTAGTAGATGCGTTCAAGTACATGATGGACTCGACACAAAACCCCTTCACGCTCATTCTGAGGTCTCCAATTTGGATGCCATAAGTCGCTTCATGGGGTTGAAGTCCGATTTAAAGCTGGAGTCGAGAAAACCCGATAAGGTGTTGGCCGTGGTTGGCACCACGCTTCTAAAAACCACGTGTTGCGAAGACCATGTACGAGGCACACAAGCTCATAAAAGCCTTGAAGATGCCATATGGCGAGATACATGCTTGTTCGAGCAGGTGTGTCCTATTTGGGGAAGAACTCAAGGAGGCAAAGTCTTGTCAGGAAGTGTAAAGCCTCTAGGTTCTGGAGGTAGAAGTGCGGTGACGGTGGTGGCGAGAAGACCCGACAAGATACCACCGAGTCCTATGGCACCTTCCCTTCGTCTTGAGGGATTAAAGGCTATTCATGACCGAGAAACCACAGAAACAAATGACATGGCACAAGAATGGCAAAGCGCTACCATCGACAAGATGGTGCATCCATCGATGGTGAAGCATGGACGACTTTAATGACAAGCATCGTTTGAAATCCGATGAGGCTCGTAATATGCGTGTCATACGCGAACGAGCAGATGGGTTCAATCACTTATGGCATGATATACGCCTTACACATGTTGGCCCGTGTTTGTTATCCCCTGAATCTCCCCCAGGCGTCGCCTTTCAGCGACATAACGTGATCTTGGCGTTGACAATTCCGGGCACCCGGGGGTAAGATGGGTGTGTTCATGGATCTGTGATTGATGAGTTGATCAAAGCTTGGAATGAAGGGGTATGGACATACGACCGAGCTACAAAGGAAAGCTTCAAAATGTCGTCGGTACCGATTACTCCATGCATGACTTCTGGCGTATGGGTTATTCGGCGCTGGTGTGTTCAGGGAAGTTCCGTGCCCAATATGCCGAGGAAGATGTGAGGTTCATTTGGTTGAAGAAGGGTGATAAGTATTAGTCGTTCGATCAACATCGTCAATTCCTAGATTCCAACCATCCATTCCGACGGGACACCAAGAACTTGAGGAAAGGTGTCGCGATCACGGACCCTAGACCGCGCTTGAAGGCCGGTGCTAAGGTTCATGCTCAAATAGATGCTCTCTTGCCCAATGAAGAAGGTGGTTTTGTGGGATATGGTAGAGCAACACATGTGGACTCATAAGTCGGGCTGAGCGATGCTCTCCTATTTCGATGACCTCCCTCTTGCCCATAACATTGATGTAATGCACCCCGAAAAAGAATATCGCCGAGGCACTTTACAGGCAACACTCATGGACTTTGACAAGTCTAAGGACAACCCTAAAGGCTGAAGGAGTGGACTGGCGGCGTTGTGTGATAGACCACAGCAAGTGATGCGGCCTCCGCAAGAAAGCGGCAAGAAGCTGAAAAAAGGCCTAAGGCCGATTTCATCTTGAAACACGAACAAAGGAGGAAGTACTACGATGGATCAAAGGCATTAATGTTCCCTGATGGGTATGCGGCGAACTGAGCGGGGGGTGAACTTAGGCACTATCTTGAGTCAACGGCATGAAGAGTCATGACTACCGCGTATGGATTGGCGGCTTCTTGGCTGATAGTGCGAGGCTTCGTTCACGAGCATCTCGGCTAGTCTTTGGCGAGTTGAGCTATTTCTTCCGCTTGACTTTGTGCCAAGGAGCTATCTCGGACCGTGGTTGCAAACTTGGAGAAAGTGGCTTTGAGTTGCTTTGTAAGTTGGAGAAGATCTTTCCACCGGCTTCTTCTTGTCGTCTTGACATTTGATTGTGCACCTCCATATGAGACACGTATGGGGAACCATCTTGAGACCCGTTAGTGCTACCCAATCGAGAGATGTAATAGAAGGCCGTTCATAAAAAATATAGAAATAAAGCCAAAATTGAGGCTTCCATTGCGAGAGCTTCCATTGCGGAGGAGGTGACAAACTTTACACAGCTATACTACTGGAGAACCTTCCTAAGCGTGCATAATCCACTCCCTCGCTACAATATTGGCGAGAATAGATCAACCTTAGCCTTTTCCAAGGGCAACTTCGGCATGTCAAGTGGATCGACCAATAAGAGGTTGGAAAATGAAGAGTGGCACATGATCATGCTATAT